TGTTTGAAGTAATGTACTGAAGACATTGTACTTTTTTTGTTGTTTTGTTTTTGAGACAGGGTCTCCTTGGAGCCCCAGCTGGCCTGAAACTCATTATATAGACCAGGTTGGCCTTGATCTCAAAGAGATCTGCTTGCTTTTTCCTCTTGAGTGCTGGAATTAAAGGTGCATGTCACTATGCCCAGCTATTTTTATATAACTTTAGTTCTAGAAATCTAATCTATTTTGATCTATCATCTTTGTCAATGTATATATTGAGTTACCTTCTTAAAAATTTAGAGGGACTAAAGAGATGGCTCAGTGGTTAAGAGCACTGGCTACTCTTGAAGAAGACCTGGATTGAAATCCCAGCACCTGCGTGGTGGCTAACTCCAGTTCCAGGGGATCCAGTGCCTCTTCTGACCTCTGTGGGCATTGTGCCACATGGATGCACTTACATAACACTGCAGACATAACACTCAAATGCATTAAATAAAAAGTTTTTCAAACTTTAAAATTTTATTTAAACTTCATTTATTTTTAAATATTTCATTTATTATTTTAATTTTATGTGTATGAGTGTTTGCCTGCATGTATGTACGTGCATCATGTGCATGCAGTGTCCACAGAGGCCAGAAGATGTTGGATCCCCTAGAACTGGAGTTATGAACAGCTTTTAGCTGCCATGTGGGTATTGAAAATCTAACTTGGGTCCTCTGGAAGAACAAGTGTTCTTAACCTCTGAGCCATCTGTCCAGTCTATTAAACTTATTTTAAAGAGTAAAGAATATATATATTCTTTTTTTTATTTGAAACATGGTCTCGGTAGCTCTGACTGGCCTGGAACTCGTAGAGATCCACCTGCTTCTGCCTCTTGAATGCTGGGACTGAGGGGATGTGCTACCATGACCAGTGCATGGTAGTGTATGTAAATGAATACTTCCATATGAAGATTCTTTTTTTTTTGTTTTATTAAATGTTTTTCCTTTTTTTTGAGATAGGATATCAGTCTGAAGCTGAAGCTGGCCTTGAATTCATGACCTCATGAATTCTTCCTGCCTCAGCCTCCTAAGTGCTGAGATTTTATGTGTGAGCTCTTACTGCTGTAGGATTCTGACATGCGTCTGTGACTTAGAAACACTAGCTGTTTTTATAGGTGTGCATGGGAGGTAAAAGGAATGGGAATAGAAATAGCTTGATCTGAGATACACTTAAAAAATAATGAATTAGCAGGATATCTTTTAAAAATATTTTATATATTTTTAAAATTTATGTATATGAGTGTATTGCCTGCATGTATGTAAGTGCACCCATGTCGTGCAATGCCTGTGGAGGTCAGAAGAGGGGGTTAGATCCCCTGGAACTGGAGGTATGGACTGTTTTTTCGTTGCCATGTGGGTGCTCTGAACCAAATCCAGGTCCTCTGCAAGAGCAGCCAGTGCTCTTAACCGCTGAGCCATCTCTCTAACCCCACATTAGAATATCTTAAACTAAATTTGAATAATTTCTGTGACTGTTAATTGCTCTGTGATGAGTGAAGTCCTTTCACTTACTAAGTTCCTTCTACACTGCATTTAATGGCTTCCTTTTCATTGTTTTAATTTGGACAATATTAAGAATTATATCATAATTTAACCTGAATATAAACACTACTTGTCTTAAATCTGAGTGATTTATGTCTTAAAGCAAGGTGTGTGTGTGTGTGTGTGTGTGTGTGTGTGTGTGTGTCCATGTCCATCTTACAGCTTATGGACCACACGCATCCAGGAATGAAGCCCAACATAGCTACAACTCCATGTCACAATGTCAGAAGGTTGGATAACCTGTCTTTAAAGTGTGGAATGGGAATAATGACCAATTTTTATTAATTCTAAATTTTTCCTACATTAAAAACGTTATCTTGGAAGTTTAAAAGAATATGTTTGAGAAGCTGTGGTTTTGCAGTAATTTTTCCCCTTGGTTTCACAGGCAATTGAAAAACTACAGGCTGGTGCTCTTGCTACAGATGCAGTGACTGCAGCTCTAGTGGAACTTGGGGTATTTCTTTGCTTTGTTTATATTGTATTTAAGGTATTTATGAGTTTATGTTCTTTGTTTTTTAAATGACATGAAACTTCTGAGTTAGTCAATTGTAAATTATGTAGTAGTGTTTCCCAAATATATTACCAAGTTTGGGAACAGCCTGCGATATGGGAGTTTTATCGAATGATATAAAAATTGGTTGATTCCTTTTGAAGTTGATGTCCCCAAGTGATATATATATATATATACACACACATATATGTGTGTGTATGTATATATGTGTGTGTACATATATATATTTAGAATACAAATGATTCTAACTTTCTAGAAGTATCTAAAGTAGAAAGACAAGCTTTGTCACAAACAAAACACATATATATGTCCTGAAGCTATGTATTGTGAAAGTGCCATGCTCCAATAGCATTTTTAGAACAGTTCCCAGTTCCAAGTGGACATTGGGAGATTAAGTGGGGATGCCCTCAGGTTTGCAATCAGTTCTTTGTATTCCATAGGAGAGTCTCTCAGTTTCTCTCAATCTGGAACACTGATGAATTTGAGGCCTTCAGAAGACTGAACTGTGGAGAACACAGATGTGTGTTAGTGATCTGACAAGATTATTATAGGCAAATATTTTTCTGAGTAGAAGACCACTATGGTGGAGATGGTGGACACGGAGATGAGTAGTGATGAGTACAAAGGAGGTACTGAGCATTAAAGTAGATAGACGTTCCCAACTTGACAGATTGTGGGCGTTGGTTAAATCCTTTTCCCTGAGAATATTGCTCAGGAGTTGACTAAAGGTCTTAGGCGTATTTTCAGTATATTCCCCTCTCACTCTATTGTAAAGCTGCACTTTTCATCATTGATAGATTTGAGTCTGTCTTTGTAACTTCATGCTAATCTGCATGCAATCTTAGCTTCCTGTTAATGTAGTCAAGGCAGGTGGCAAATGTGTGTGTGTGTGTGTGTGTGTGTGTGTGTGTGTGCGTGTGTATTTTTTTAATTCTAATTGCCTGAAGCTGGCCGTGGTGGCATCTTTGTAACTTCATGCTAATCTGCATGCAATCTTAGCTTCCTGTTAATGTAGTCAAGGCAGGTGGCAAATGTGTGTGTGTGTGTGTGTGTGTGTGTGTGTGTGTGTGTGTTTGTGTTTGTGTTTGTGTATGGAATTTGTGTGGCTTCCTTATTATATCATGACTGGTAACTGATGCTTTTTTTTTTTTTTTAATGAAAGGGTGGCCTTGTAGCCTCAGCTGACCTAGAAGTCATTATGTAGGCTGACCAGGCTGACCTCAGTCTTACAGAGATCTGCTTGCTTCTGCCTCCTGTGTGCTAGGATTAAAGGTGTGAGCCATAGTGTCTGGCTGTGATTCATGCATCTTATACCCATTCATCAGTCATTAACCATAATTCTCTGGGTATGTCAGAGCCTGTCCTTGATTCAGTTTTTTTCTGTCTATAATAGAATAATAATGCATTCTACTTCACAGAATTATGAGGATTTAGTTAACGTATGTGACTCAGAGTACTGTGTGGCTCGTAGTAAAATTGCTCCATACTTGGGTATGGCAGATTTTACTATTATGAGGTTTGCAATTATTAATGACCAACTTTCCAATACAAAGATTACTGTAAGTTGTGGATAAAAGGAGAAAAATGACATAAAGAAGATTGATGTACTCCCTGCAAAATCTTACCGTTACTCCAAACATATGCTACTGTCCTTTCTGCAGAAGACGATGTGGAGATTATCAGTTTTTGTAGTCATTCTATGTTGGGGGGAAAAATGAGTAATATGGATATATATTCTTAAGGCAATTATGAAGACAAAATTGAATAAAATAAAAAAAATTTAGAGTAACTTTGCTTTTTTCAAGTTATAGATGTATCAGTGTTGAAGAGATGGCTTAATGATTAAGGGCATTTGTTCTTGCAGAGGACCCAGTTTTGGTTCCTAACACCCACATGGCAGCCAACAGCCATCCATCACTCTAGTTCTAGGGGATCTGATGCCTGCTTCTGACCTCTGTCGGCATTGCATGCACATGGTGCATTTACACACATGCCAGCAAAATGCTCACACACATAAAATAAAAATAAACACAATTTAATAAGTTATAGCTGTGTTGTGTTGAGCATTCGATTCTATTTTCTCCCTACATTTATTTATTTATTAGAATGATTTATTTATATTTGTAGAAGTATTTTGCTTGCCTGTATGTATACTGATATATGTGTGGAGCCTATGGAGGCCAGAAGAGGGCTACAGAGCCACTATGTGGGTGCTGGGAATCAAGCTTTGAATCCTTTGATAAAACAGAAAATGCTCTCAACCACTGAGCCACCTCTTTAGCCCCTTCCCTTTCTTTGTAAAGGGATTACTTATTTATACTTAAGAAAAGAGCTTTTGGGGAGTTAAATATGGTAGTTTCAATTCTAAATTTTTTACTTGTTATACGAATGTAAGTAATATAAAGCCCTTTCAGCATATTGGAGTATGCTGAGAAAATCAGAGAAAGCCTGAATTATATTCTTTTATGCTTAAGCGTAACATTCGTCTTTAGTTTTGGTCAACCTACTCAGTGAAGTCTTGTCTTACTGAGTAGATGAGGATGTGGTTGGTCATGCTTATCCTTTACTTTGGAATATGCTTCTTTTGGGTTGTGGGGCAAGGTCTCTCCATGGTAGTCTAGACTGTCCTCAAATTCATGACACTCAGATTCCTACGTACTGGAATTACAGATATGCAAAACCAAGTCTGAAATAGGAGATGTATATATGTGTATATATGTGTATTTATACATATGTACATGTATTTTTAATGAATTAAATAAATATTTTGAGCATTTTCCCATGAGTTTATTTAGAAACCATACAGTGTCAGGCATCCCGTGATGATGGGGCTACAGTCTGAGAAATGTGTTGCTAGATGATTTTGTCAGCTTTTGAAAGTGTACCTACACAAACATTGACTACCATGAAGTGATCAACTGATAAAATCTTATGTGACTACTATCATGTAAGCAGTTAACAGTTGATGTTTAAAAAGATTTATTTTTATTTTATGTGTGTGGGTGTTTTGCCTGCATGTGTGTAAGTATACCATGTGTGTGCAATGCCTACAGAGGCTGGAAGATGGCATTGGATTCTTGGAGCTGGAGTTACAGATGGTTGTTAGCCTTCATGTGGGTGCTGGGAACTGTTACTGAGCCTAAATCTTGGACTTCTGGAAGAGCAGTGAGTGTTCTTAACCACTGAGCCATCTCTACAGTCCCTAATTTAATAATAATAATAATAATAATAATTATTATTATTATTATTTTTGGCTTTTTGAAGCAGGGTCTCCTTGTAGCCCCAGCTGTCCTGGAACTCACTATGTAGACCAGGCTGATGTTGAACTCACAGAGATCGGCCTGCCTCTGCCTCCCGAGTGCTGGGACTACAGGTGTGCGCCACCACGCCCAGCTTAATTGTTAAAGTTTTTTTTTTTTTCCTCACATAGATTATTGTTAGATAGTTCAAGCTGACCTGAAATTTGTGATGTCTGCTTTCATAGCCCTATTGCTGAGATTACAGGTGGGGTTTTACCTTTTTATTTGTTGAGATGGGTTCTAACTGTGTAGCCTTGGCTGGCCTGGAACTTGCTGTATAGACCAGACTGGCCTTGAACTCAACAGAGATTTACCTGATTCTGCCTCCTGACTGCTGGGATCAAAGTCATGTGCCACCATGTGTAGCTAGGGATATATGTTTTGGTGAAATAAGTGATACAGTTTAAACTTGCCTGCTGTATTCTTCTTTGGCAGATATTATACTTGGTGTGAATTCTTTGAGCACTCTACTAAATATAGATTGAAGTAACTGAGATAAAATGGTTTAATGGTCCTTATTGGCTAGAATAAGTATCTGGCCTTGTATTTAAAAAAAAATGTGATCTTTATTTTTTCCCAAATAGTGAAACATTTTAACATAAGTATCAACTTATGAACTTGATGCAGTAGAGGAGAAAGAGATAGGATGAGATAAAATAAGATTTTCACATATTCTTTTTTTTTTTTTTTTAAATTTTTTTTATTTATTTGTATGAGTATATTGCTTGCATGTAGGTAGGTACACCCGTGTTGTGCAGTGCCTGAGAAGGTCAGAAGAGGGCATTGAATTCCCTGGAACTGGAGTTATGGCTGGTTGTTAGCCACTATGTGGGTGCTGGGAATCGAACCTGGGTCCCCTGAAAGTGCAGCCAGTACTCTTAACTGCTGAGTCATCTCTCCAGGCTCCCCATTAAGGTAGGATCTCATGTAACCCAGGCTGGTTTTGAACTTGCTATGTTGCCAAGGCTGGATTTGAGCTCCTTATCCTCTTGATTCCCTCTCCTATGTGCTGGGATTATAAGCATGTGCCACTATGCCTGGCTTTTCTTTTAAACTTAAAAAAAAAAAATTTCTTAGTTAACATACATCAGTGTGGGTTTCATTGTGACATACCACTATACTTTTTCTTCCTTTTCATTTAAAAAAAATTACTGTTTGACAGTTTCAACATGTATATAGTGAATTTTGGTCATTTTCATCTGTCATTCATTTCATTCTCTCCCTCACCCACTGAAACCCTTCTTTCTTGAGAAATGCCCTTCCTACTTTGATGTCTTTTTTTTGTGGCCCTTTAGTTTGATTATGATTATGTGCATGAGCATGTGTGAGGGATTACACTGTATTTTGTTTTTACTCATATGTAGCTCACACAGGGCACCTAGACCCATTTTCCTGCCAGCTCTTCTTGGAAACAGATGATCGTTTTTCTAGTCCACTTCAAACACAAGTGTTGCCATCCTAAGACTACCACTTCTGGAGAGGTTATTTTCTTTGTTTAAATGAAGTAGGTATATTGGCATGGTAGATTATGACCAGTTTTTCCTTTTAGGGAAAATGGAATTGAGATGGAATATGGCCACTCCTGTGAGAGGTGTTCTATAGTATGAAAATGCAAAGATGCCTCCAAGTACATTTAGTTTTTCCTCAAAATACATGCCAGTTTATAGATCATATTTTGATGACTTATTGTTGAGTTGAATTGGCCTTGTTTTATATTGCTTTTGTAGATTACCTTATAGCAAATGAAAAACATTGGGTTTTACAACTCTATTTTCACTTCAACAGAGAAAATTAATATTGGGAAGCATTTTAGTCTATATCTGGCTTATACAACATTGGGTGTTTGCTGTTTTTCTTGGCTGCCTAGAATTAGTTTTGGTTTAGATATTGACAGTAGGTTTAAGATGCCAGACCATTGTTTTGTGCATTTTATATATATGGCCTCTGATAGTATTTCTTTTTTGAGGAAATTGGATACAGTTCTCAGTGAGTCACGGGCCACCACTTTCTTAGTATTGTTCTAAAAGTAAAAGCAAAAGGCCTGTTTCATGGATTTTGAAGGTGAACTACACATGAAACTAAGCTTTCCATAGAGGTATTTTCCAAAGAAAGTACTAAGACCTGATTTAAAATATTTAATCTAGTAAGGAATAATTGGTGAAATGTGGATCACAAACCTATAGAGAGATACTTGCAATTCTCTTGTGATAAAAAACTGATGACTCTGGCAGAGATTTTCCATCTTGTTAGAACCTTCAAGAAATTTTGGTTCATTTTGAAACTGATTACTATAGCAGGTAGAATTCTGTACATTAAGAGTTGTGCCAAAGGGGCTGGAGAGATGGTTTAGTGGTTAAGAGCACTGGCTGCTCTTGCAGAGGACCCAGGTTTGGTTCCCAGCACCCACATGATGGCTAACAACTGCCAGTAGCTCCAGTTTCACAGGATCTGATGCCCTATTCTGACCTCCACAGTCATTGGGTGACATGGGAACACTTAACATATATTCAGGCAATACACTCATACACATAAAAAATAATAAGAATAGTGTTAGGACTAACTTAAATTTCAAATAGTGAAAGGCAAATCACAGAAGACTCTTGTCAAAGTGTTCTGTTTGGCTGGGGATGTTGATCAGTGGTGGAGCACATACTTAACATGCATGAGTTTGGTCCCTTGAGTTTTGATCTCCAGTACTGCAGAAAAACCAAAACCAAAAAGTCAACCAAACTCAAACAACAAAAGAAAAATTCCAAAATGATCTGTTGAAATTATGTATTCTAAGTGGAGCCTGTAGTTTGGCTAACTTGATTCATCCTTCAAAGTTTCCTTTAGTTAAGGAAGATCTTAATTCATGTCTGAAACTGATTATTGTCCAAGTGCTTTCACGTTTATAGAGCAGATTATATTAGTGCAGTCCCTTGTCTTTGAATCTTTATGCAATCCAGCGGATTGTTTGGTAACTCATTTGCACCTCTCACACTCTTTCATTGATAATGTCTTTTATTTGTTGCAATGGGAGGGGGTGGCAGTCTTGTGTTTTATTTATGTGAAGTTAAAGTTTTACTATTTTTCTCATAATATACAGTGTTTTTGCTGAATGAAATTTGAATTTTAGCATTAGATACTCTTTTCTTTCTTTTTTTTTTTTTTTAAGGTTGATCTCATGGGTTGTTTCAAATACCCTGTTTTGCTTATCTCTTTAGCAGTATTTCCAGTGGTGCTTCAGTATTTCTGTGTATGCCAGCAGTTTATGGAGACTTTATGTTTCTCTGCATTTTTTGTTTTATTTTTTGAGGTGTACACACAGTTACACTTCATGGACTTCCATCCAGCCAAGTATCCATGTTCTTCTTGTGAAGAGGCAGAGAAAATCACCTCTCCCAAGAATTTCCACCTTCTGACCAAGGGAAATGTGTTCTGAAGAGCTGTACAGATGGGAGGCAACTTGTTTGCTTGTTCTGCTTGCTAGAGCATTGATTTAATTAGAAGACAGGCTGTGGGTGGCCATGTGCAGACAAAGAAGCACCAGACAGCCCAGTAAAAGTAAGCCTGGGACAGTAAAAGTAAGTTAAGCTCTTTTAAAACACTTTTTTGAGTACTGATGCTGATTCTTGCCTTTAGACTGAGTGGCAACTTATAACTTACTGATTGTGTTTACACATTAGGTACATCTGTTCTTTTTCTAAGACCCTATAAATGAAATTCGCATTCTAGTACAAAGTACTTGCCTAGTGGAAAAACACTTGATTTTTTCCCCCCACCATTTTTTTAAGAATAAAAAAACCCTAAATCAATTATTACATTTTATATTAACTTTACATTGCATCAAAACCCTGTATCAGCTGTTGACCAAGTGAAAACACTCAAGTGCAGGCTTTGTCATGCTTTACTTTGTAGTGAGGGGAACATAAGGAATTACTTTAGCCTTTTCCAGCCATTTCTTGGTGAGCTTTGTGGATCTCATCAGGTGTTTCCTCTTGCTGAATCAGACAGGGGCTATGCAGTAAGACCTGTCCAGAGTTCCTGAGAAGCATGGCGTTTCACGTGTAATTTTTATTTTTCTCTTGGAATTGGCACTCTCAAGAATATATTACATTTTGAAATTCAATTTTGAGCTACTTAAAGCAACACGGTAGAATGATAGAATTGGCGGTAATCCTGTTTTTTTGACTAAGTAGAAGTAATTCAGACTACTGGATCTTTGTGTATGAAATATATTCTAGTTCAGTATTCATAGACACAGTGCACAGAGGTATTTAATTCAATGTAATAGGATTTTATAGTATCAAAAAAATTTTTTTTTTGCTTTTGATAATGAAGGAGCTAAACTGAGATTTTTCTCTGTGCTGTTTCTGTATAACCTCAGGATGATTCTGTGATGTTTAATTTGAAAGACTGCGTTTTTTTCTTTTTTTGGTGGGGGGGCTGTCTTGATGTGTGCTGTATATTAAATCTAGGGGTTCATCCCCCCAATTTTAATTTATTTTTTGTAAGTTTGTGTACTGCAATGTGCATGTGGAGGTCAGGAACAACTTTCAGGAGTTGGTTCTCTCATTCCACCATGTGGATTCTGGGGATTGAATGTAGGTCATCAGGTTTGGTGACAAGCACTCTGACCTACAATAACATTTTACTGGCTCTAGGCCCTTTTGATAGGTTCTCTACCACTAAACTTAATCTTCAACCCAGAAGACTGCCCTTTGGTGTCGCGAGCCGGGACTCTGTCCAGCAGAGTCCAGGAAAGACGACACAGACACCAAGGTGAGGTTCAAGCTTCTGTTTCTCTTTCTTCCTTTATTCTCTCTTATTCTCTCTCATATTCTCTTCACTATGATGCTGTCTCCTATGATGCTGTCCTTATGATGCTGTGTTTCTCATGATGCTGTCTCCTACCTCTGTCTGTCTCTCTGTCT